CTGTACCTAGTAAGAAACAGTCCTTCAGAATCTAAGCCTTTATTTAATTGGCAGAGATTAGCAATGGTACATTCTTGCCTAATGCTTTTTTTAATATTTGTGCTTTTTATTATAAAGAAAAATGTTTTCTTACCAATAGTTTAATGGCTAGAATTTTTTAGCAAAAACAAATAAAAGGAAAGCATAAAATCATTTAACATAAGTATTATTAATGAAAATATTTTTAATTAGACACATTAAAAACCACATTTTTGTTGTATGCCACTTGATCACATTGTGTTGTGTTCAATTCTGGGCGAAATACATGGGACAGAGGAATCTGATGAAGCCAAGACCCAAAGAAACAGGTAAATTTGCATATTTTATGTCTAAGTTTGGTGATTCGTGTGTAATTGTGAGAACTCTGGAGAAGAAATGGTGACCCGGTGGGAAAATTGCTCTGGGCATCTCATGTCTTATTTAGGTATTTCTCTAGTCCTGAGCATTTAGAAACATGAACAAATATGGGAAGAGGCTCTCCAAGTGAGACTTTCTGATCTTTTTCAGAAGAGAAGGTTGGAGGAGAGAGTGGTACATGATCCAAGTTCATAACCCAATAAAGAGAGTACATAGGAAACTGCCTAGACCATGCATTTTCTATTTTTAATTTTCTTTTTATTTATTCTTTGTGTCTCCACACCATGTCTCCTGAATCACTCATCTCCACCCCCACCCCCAAAATAAGACAAAATAAAATTTAAGAGAAGGGGGAAAAGGGAAGAAAGGGAGAGTCTTGTCCTTAAAGCAGCAACGAGATACACAGTGAGTCACGCAGTGAACCACTTTTCCATACGTTTTTACATGCAGGTGTTCATCCCAAAGAATCATTGGTCTGGTTCGAGGTCCCTGGTCTCTGCTACACTGTTGATGCAGGTTCCTCACTGGGACTTTTCCTGGACATCCCATTGCTGCCCTGTGTCTGGAGATCTTGCAGCCCTGGGTCCACAGGTCTGACACCAACCAACCCAACCCCCACTGCTCCCCCATTCCCCCCAGTGATCAAGCAGATCCCAGATCGGGTGGATGTTGGGGTGGGCCAACATACAACCCCAGGGCAGCCACAGGGCTGGTCAGCCTGCCAGCTCTCCCCTGTCTTCACCACCGGGGGGGGGGCTCTCCTGCATTGCCCTGGGTGCTTCACCCCTTGCGGTGATGAACAAGGGGCGAGGCCACTTCTCCTGCCTACACATCCTCAGGGTCGGTTCTCCCACCCCTGTACGGTCAGGGCCAGCTCTGCTGTGTTGTCCAGGTGAGGTGCAGGGGCCACTTTCCTGAGTGCTGCAGCTGCTGAGGGGCAGGGCCGGCTCTCCTGCTCTCATGACCTCAGGGCCAGCTCCTCACATCCCTCAGGGGGTAAATCCACCCACGCTGCTATGTGACAGATGAGTAATGGAGACAGCTCTCCAAAGCTCACAACCTCGGGGCTGGCTCACTTGTCTAATGTTTTAAAATGAAAGGCTTCCTCCCCACTACTGTGCTTTCGTGGAGTGGGTAGGGGGGCAAACATGTCCTACCTTGGCTTATAATCGTATAATGCTGGATCTAAGCAGTTGAGACCACATATGCAGACATCTTTTTAAGTTTTCCTTCAGTATTAATGGCCCAGTGCATGCTGACAAATGCACTACCACAGAGCTATGTAACCAGCCCGACTCCCATCATATATACATGTATTCACTTAGTTGATTTACATTTTGCAAAATATGTATACAGTGTTCTACCTGAATGTACCCCTGCAGGCCAGAAGAGGGCACCAGATGGTTGTGAGCCACCATGTGGTTGCTGGGAATTGAACTCAGGACCTCTAGAAGAGCAACCAGTGCTCTTAACCTCTGAGCCATCTCTCCAGCACCCTTAGCTTACTTTTTATTTTGAGAAAGAGTCTCACTGTATTTTCCATGCTGACCTTGAACTCACTCTATAGTCCTGGGAAGCTTTGAACTTGTCATTCTCCTATCTCAGATCCTGAGCAGCTTTGACTACAAGCCTGTGCCAACAGGTTTGGCTGGGCATCTTTTGAACAAATGCAGGATGGTTATCTTTCACTAAGGATGAATGACTGACAGGGTGTTGCTTCTTTGTTGCTCACCATTTCTGACTGACACCCTGCTGGGCCCTCCCACCTGTTAATCACCTGTTGTGAGACTCTGTACTGAGACCCATGTAGCAAGGAGCCCAAGGAAGCCCCCAGCTGTCAGCTCAGAGGATCCTGGGACTCAATACAACAGCTGGGAAGAATGAAGTACTGCCTACAACCACAAGAGGGAGCTTGGTGCAGATCTTCTTCCAAATAACCCTTGGATGACTATTAGTTGGGCAGGAACCTGGATTTGAAATCTGGGAGACACTCTGAGCCCGAAGACCCAGATAAACTTTCCCTAATTCTTGCCCTACTTAAACTGCATGTATGACAGTATATATGTGTTCTCGTTATCTGTAAAGCTCATTATCTGTTGTTAAGCAGTGACAGAAAAATCATGCAACCACAAAGTGAAGGCAGGGTCCGTAAGAGGAGAAGGAACCACCAGGAGGTAGTGGTGCACGCCTTTAATCCCAGTACTCTGGAGGCTGAGGCAGGCTGACCTCTGTGAGTGTGAGCTCGGAGGCCAGCCTGGTCTGCAGAGTGAGTTCCAGGACAAGCCCCAAAGCTACAGAGAAACCACTCCCCATCCCTGGCCCCCACCTCCAAAAAAGGAGGAACTAAAACCAGACAGATTGTACTCATGCTGGGAACCGGGGAACACAGGATCTCCCAAGGAAGACAAGGAACCTAACCACGTCCTATTCTTTAACCAATGCTGGCATCTTTATCATCACCCCACTCCAACACACACACTCTCCTCTTGAGTATCCCACACTGGCCTCCAGATTGCTATGTAGCCACGAATGACCTTGAACACGCAGGTCCTTCCTCCTTCATCTCCCACATGCTGGGACTGCGGGTATATACCAGCAGACACAGCTTACACAGTGCTGGAGCCCGACCCAGACCCTCTGCTACCTGATCTCACATTCAAAATATAAATAACTTTTAAGATCCCACAAATTAATGTGTTTACAAATTTAAGTAAATTAAAGTTCAGTCTTTTAAGAATGGTCAATCTCAGCTGAACAAGTGGTTTATACCTTTAATCCCAGCACTTGGGAGACAGAGGCAGGCAGATCTCTGTGAGTTCCAGAACAGTCAGGGCTTTGAAAAGAGACTGTTTCAAAAAACCAAAAATCAAATCAAAACAACAACAAAACAACCAGCCAATCTCTTTTTAAAATTCAAAGTCCTTAAAAACCCAAAGTCTCTCAGCTGTGGGCTCCTATATAAACAGTGGTGGTACACACCTTTAATCCCAGCACTTGGGGAGGCAGAGGCAGGCAGATCTGTGAGTTTGAAGTCAGCCTGGTCTATAGAGTAAGTTCCGGGACAGGCTCCAAAGCTACACAGAGAAACCTTGTCTCAAACCCCCCTGCAAACAAAACAAAACAAAAAACAATTAACTACTTGCTTACTTCAAGAAGGAAAAACCAGGGCACAATCACAATCAAATCAAAAGCAGAACCAAATGCCAAAGTATAAATACCCAACTTTTTTTCCAATATATTTTTTATTTAAATTAGAAACATACTTGCTTCACATGTCAATCCCAGCTCCCTCTCCCACCCCTCCTCCCTTGCCCCTCCACTACTCTCTCCCAGCCCCACACCCAATCCCCACACCATTCCCCAGGGAGGGTGAGGCCTTCCATGGGGAATCTCCAGAATCTGTCATTTCATTTGGGGGAGGGCCTAGGCTGTGTCCAGGCTGAGAGAGTATCCCTCCATGGGGAATGGGCTCCCAATGTTCATTTGTACACCATGGTAAACACTGATCTACTACCCAAGGCCCCAGAGATTGCCAAGGCCTCCACACTGACACTACATTCAGGGGGTCTGGATCAGTCCCCTGCTGGCCTCTCAGCCATCAGTCTGGGATTCAAGAGCTCCCCCTTGTCAGGTCAGCTGTCTTTGTGGGTTTCACCAGCACAGTCTTGACCCCTTTGCTCATCACTCCTCCATCTCTGTCACTGGGTTCCAGGAGTTCAGTTCAGTGTTTAGCTGTGGGTATCTGCCTCTGCTTCCATCAGCCACTGGATGAAGGTTCTAGGATGGCATATAAGGTAGTCCTCAATCTCATTATCAGGGAGGGGCATTTAAGGTAGTCTCTCCACTATTGCTTAGATTGCCAGTTGGTGTCATCCTTGTAGATCTGTGGAAATCTCACTAGTGTCGGTTCTCTCCTCAAACCTACAATGATTCATTCCCTTTATTATGGTATCTCTCATCTTGCTCTCCTCTATTCTTCCCCCGACTCAACCTTCCTGCTCCCCCATATCTTACTCTCCTCTCCTTTCTTTTTCCTGGTTCCCTCTCCCCTCTCCTCATGCTCCCAATCTGCTCGGAGATCTTGCCTCATTCCCCTTCTCTGGGGTATCATGCATATCTATCTTGGGAACTTCCCTGTTTCCCAGACTCACTGGCAATGGGATTCTAGCCTGACACTTCCCTGATCCATGTCTAAAATCCATATATGAGTGCGTACATACCATGTTTGTCTTTTTTGTGACTGGGTTACCCTACTCAGGATGGTTTCTTCTAGTGCCATGCATTTGCCTCCAAATTTCGAGATTCCATTGTTTTTCCCCCCCACTGAGTAGTATTCCATTGTGTAAATGTACATTTTCTCTATCCGCTCTTCAGTTGTAGGACATCTAGGTTGTTTCCAGGATCTGGCTATTACAAATTATGCTGCTATGAACATAGTGGAACAGCCATCCGTGTTGTATGAATGGGCATCTTTTGGGTATATGCCTAAGAGTGGAATTGCTGGGTCTTGTGATAAATCCAGCCACACTGAACCTCTTAGAAGAGAAAGTGGGAGGTACCTTGAATGAATTGGTACAGGAGACCGCTTCCTGAACATAACTCCAGTAGCACAGACACTGAGATCGACAATTAATAAATGGGACCTCCTGAAACTGAGGAGATTCTGTAAGGCAAAGGACACAGTCAACAAGACAAAAAGGCAGTCCACAGAATAGGAAAAGATATTCACTAACTCCACATCTGACAGAGGGCAGATCTCCAAAATTTACAAAGAACTCAAGAAGCCAGTCTCTAAAACACCAAAGGATTTAATTAAAAAGTGGGGTATAGAACTAAATAGAGAATTCTCAATAGAGGAGTCTAAAATGGCTGAAAGACACTTAAGAAAATGCTCAACATCCTTAGCCATTAGGGAAATGCAAATCAAAACAACTCTGAGATATCATCTTATTCCTGTCAAAATGGCTAAAATCAAAAACACCAATGACAGTTTATTCTAGAGGGGATGTGGAGAAAGGGGGACACTCCTCCACTGATGGTGGGAGTGACAACTTGTACAGCCACTTTGGAAATCAGAATGGAGATTCCTCAGGAAAATGGGACTCAGCCTACCATAACTCAACTTCTAATGTCCAGGGCTTCTCCAAAGGGATCAGGTCACTTCTCTGGCTCTGCCCTCTGCAGCACACACAGTTTGTCTTCTAGGCTGTGGATGGCTCCACCCCACTGCTGCTGTTCTTGGTGCATCCCATGGTACTGGCATCTCTAAAACGCTGGGGCCTTCTGCTGCAAATGGGCTGCACTTTCACCAATAGCTTCTCTCGGATCTCCTCCTCATGGTGCCAAGCCCCAACTTCTCTGCATGACCCCTTTCAACTGCCACCAAGGCTGCACTTTGATCAGTGGCCTTTCCTGGCCTCACAGTGCCAAGCCTCAGCTGCTTTCCATGACCCCTTCATGCCTCAAAACCAGTTCTACCTGGGTGACTCTTACACTGCCAAGTTCAGGCACCAGCACAAGATCTTGGCCATGTCTGGAACATAGCTTCTCTGTGTTTGCAGGAAACACTTTCTGGATTTCACTTCAACAATGCTGGTCTTTTCTTAATCACTGCTCATTTCCCAGCTCCAGCCAATCAGCATCAAGTATCCCAGCAAAGCGAAAGTTAGCTCTAGTAGTTCTAGTGTCTTGTTAATCAGCTGGTTCTTCAACCCCATTTAACTAGAACCACAAAATCTTGATTCAAAATAACAAATGGCCCTGCTAGAGTCTTAAACCCCCTTCTTAAACTTCACAAGCCAGGCCTCCATCCTCGGCATTGCCCTCAACATTCCTATCTTCCAGCCTCCTACAAAACAGCTCACCAAGCTTTGAACACTCAATGGCTTTTCCTGCCCAAAGTTCCAAAGTCCTTCCACAATACTTCCAGAAACAACACAGTCAGGTCTGTCACAGCAATACCCCACTATCCTGGTACCAACTTTTCTTAGTTGGAGTTTCTATTGCTAGGATGAAACATCTTGACTAAAGAAACTAGGGGAGGGAAGAGTTTATTCAGCTTATTCTTCAAAATCACAGTTCATCATCAAAGGAAGTCAGGACAGGAACTCAAGCAGGGAAGGAGCCTGGAGGCAGGAGCTGAGGACGAAGCTACGGAGGAGTGCTGCTTACTGGCTTACCCCTCATGATTTACTCGGCTTGCTTTCTTATAGAACTCAGGACCACCAGCCCAGGGATGGGAACTACCCACAATAGGCTGAGCCCTCCCCCATAAATCACTAATTAAGAAAATGCCATACATGCTTGCCTACATCTGGGTCTTATGAAGGCATTTTCTCAACTGAGACTCCCTTCTCTCTGATGACTCTAGCGTGTGTCAAGTTGACATAAAACTAGACAGGGTAGGAGCATTGGCTTTTGGGGGCAGGCACAAGACCCTAGGCTTCATCTCCAGTGCCATAAAATGAAAGAAAAGAAAGGAAGACAGGTGTGGTAGCAGGAGCTGGTGATCACAGGGATAGAGAAAGTAAGCAGGATCGTAAATTCCAGGCTAGCCTGTGATACATGGTGAGCTCAAGGACAGCCTCATCCACAAAGTGAGACCCTGGTGAAGGGATGGAAGACAGGAAGAAAGGACTGACCTTCTGTACCTGGAGATGAATTTTTGTCCTTGGCCTCCCCATCCATTGCTCCGGTTCTGTCCCTGGAGCACAGAGAACAGGCCTAAAGTCCCCTGTTCAATGCAGCATAAACACACATGGGTGGGTTCAAATCCCAACTCCAATCCTTATGAGTCATGAATGACCTGAGCAAGTCATGTGACTTCAGCGCCATCTGTAGGAGTTAATATCACCTGCCTTATGGAGTTGTGTTGGGGCTTATTTATGGCTGGTTTTGTTTATGTGTTTGAATTTGTTTGTTTGTTTTTGGGGTTTTTTGTTTTCTTGTGTTTTGTGCTCCAGTTCAAACTCAGGGCTTCAGGCATGCTAAGTATGCTGGCAACACTGGATTCCAGGAAGATAAACTCATGATGACTTAGCCCAAATCCAGGGAAGAGAACGTGTTCCTCAGCATTCCCTGTCACTGTGGTGGCAAGCAATGAGGCTGCAGCAGAGACTCTCTAAGGCCAGGTGACTCTAAACTCAAACTGAGTATTCCATCACAGGGGAAGAATAACGGACAGCAGAGGGCAGAATAATAGATACCAACCTCGGCCATTAAAGGTAGACTGGAAACTCACGACATATTTCTACTAACCAGGGTAGGACCACATCACCACCCTATACTGATGACTTGTACCAGGAACTCAGAGAAGTGTTTTCCTTACCCCGGGCTGCTCAGTATCATCTCCCACATCACACTCCATGTCAGGGAAGCATCTGAAAGGCCTCCTTTTCCACCTCTGTCTCAAGTACAGAAGTGAGTAAACTAGGCCCGTTCCCCCCACACCCATAATTCAACAGCCTCCCCTCCAGAGAAGAGTCAAAGAAATTCAAGAGACAGGCACTCCCGGACACCAGTGTTACTACAGCATGGAGGCACAACAGGGTAGACCAGAGACTGCAGGGCAAACCCTGGGCCCTCTGCACTGAGCTGGAACCTTCCTGTGGGCGGATATGACTGAGTTATTAGGTGCCAACCACGTGGTGCATAATGAATGCGTATGCAAAGGACAACAACAACCAAAAGCTGGGATTTCTGTAATCAAGGCCATAAAACCGGATGTGCCAAACGTGATAGTTCACCCCTGTAATTCCAGCACATAGGTGGCTGGAGCCTAGGATCACGAGTACCAGGCCACCTTGGTATAGCCAGGCTCCCCACCATGCTATGAAGAGATACCATGACAAAGGCAACTTGTAAAAGGAAGCATTTAATTGGGCTTTCTTACGGTTTCAGAGGATGAGTCCAAGACCACGAGGGAGTCTGATGGCAGGCAGGCAGGCAGGCAGGCAGGCAGGCAGACAGACAGACAGGCAGGCAGGCAGACAGACAGACAGGTAGGCAGGTAGGCAGGCAGGCAGGCAGAAGGCTGTAGCAGTAGCTGAGAGCTCACATCTGATACACAACAGCAGACAGAGAAATGCCAACTAGAAAAGTGTGGGCTTCCTGAAATGCCACTCCTCTTGTTTTCATTAAATTCAGTAGCTGACCCTTAAGCAACTGCTGTCCTAATGGGCAATTGCAACTCTGTAGTTACTGGTAGAGGTTTGACTGCAGTGGCCATAGCCAGGCAAGGATCCTGTTCCCTCAGGCACTGGCTCTATCACAGTTGTTAAAGGGAACTTTACCTAGATCTCTATCCCCACAGAAAGCAGGATTCAAAGGTCGAGGTGAATTTCTGCTCACTCAGGCTGAATAGCAAGTAGCTAACCTTCTCTCTTAGCTCAGATCCCCCCCCCAAAAAAAAACAGCTGGTCCTCCTGCTCTGCCCCCACTTAAGAACCCTAGCTACACATGGCTCCTGCCTACCACTTCCTGTCAGCTAGTTGCTGACTCAAACTCCTGAGCCCAGGTTAATTTTATTTAATCAAACAAATGTAACATGTCTTTGCATCATTAGACAAATATTCCACATCATAAATAAATGTGACAAATCTTAGATTCCACAATACCCTCCTAGTGCCACACCTTCCCCAACAAGACCACACCTCCTAATCCTTCCTAAACAGTCCACCGAGAACCAAACATTCAAATGTGATGTGGGAAGTCCTTCTTTGTATATGCTTCTCTTATTGGTTAATGAAGAAGAAAACACTGATTGGCCAGGCAGGAAGTGATATAGCTGGGCAGAATCAGAATACAAGCAGTGACAAACAGGAAATCACTCTCTCTTATCTTCTCTGTGGGGATGCTGAGCCAGCCGTTATCATGTAGCAGGCAAAGGAGATGCAGGTCTGGTAAGCCAAGACCACATGGAAATACATGGATTAGTAGTTATGGGTTAATAATTAAGTCAGAGCTAGCCAATAAGAAACCATAGCCGACAGCCAACAACTTTATAATTTATATAAGCCGTGTGTTCATTTAGGGTTGATGTGGCTATGGAACCAGCCTGGCGGGAAGAGTTCACGTAACACAAGTATGGGAGTCTATGGGAGGCCATTCTCATTCAGATGACCACATAGGCAAAATGAAGGATAATTCCTGATATCAACCTAGGACTTCCACATACAGGCACACAAACGTGCACATAGAAAACACACATGCAAAATGTGCATATGCCGACACATACCAACATGGAGAAAAGAAAATAATTTAAAAAAAATCAAATCTGAGGATGTTTGGAGGTTACCTTTGAGTTTGAATATCATCTGATTTTTTGACAAATGAATAAACAGAGGTTTAGAACTACATAGGAGTTTGGGGGTGTAGCTGAGAGGTAAAGGTGTTTACAAATGTGGGTTCAGTGTCTGGGACAGACAGAGGGATGGAAGGAATGGGGGGTAAGAGGGAGGGAGCACCCCAAGGGCAAATGCGGGGACAAATTTTACCAGATCCCTTACCTCTCCCCACTCTGTGTGGTGTTTCCACCTCAGTGAGTGCCAGGTATCAGGGTGTTGACTTTTTTGAACTTTCTTACACACACACACACACACACACACACACACACACACACACACACACACATTCTGGGAATTAAACCTAGGGTCTCACACATTCTAAGCAAGCTCTCTACCACTAAGCTATATTCCTCACCCTTATTTTATTTTTTTGAGGCAGTCTAGGTATGTATCCCAATCTTCTCTGGGCTCCTGGAGTGCTAGGATTAGAAGCCTAGGCCACACCAACCAAACTTAACTTTTTCATTGCTGTTTGTTGAGACAATCTCATTAGGCAACAAAGGCTAGACTGGAACTCACTAAATAGACCAAGTTGGCCTTGAACTCACAGAAATCTTCTTCCCGCTGCCTCCTAGTGCTGGCATTAAAGGCATTGACTACTATATCCAGCCTACTTTCATTTTCTAAATCAGAGTCCTAATGGAAAGTGGGAACCGGGCAGGAGTAATAGTGCGGAGGGTGGGGGGGGGTGTTACCTCTATCAATTTACCAGATTCAGCAAGTAGTGACCGCCAACTCCATTCTGGCCACACCAACTGGAGACAGTCCAACAGGGGCAAAGACTGCTGTAAGCTCTGTCTGGGAAGGGAGAAGAGGAGCACAGAAATCAATCAGGCTCAAGTTCAAACACAGTGCAGCCGTGGAAAGTGCCGGGAAGGGAGAGGACAGGATGTTTACTACACATTCCTTGGGCAGCATTGGGCATCGGGTCTGGAAGGCGTCCAGGAGAAAGTGATGCCTGTGCTGAACCAAGAAGGCATTTCCCCATTTTACAGTTAAGAGCTGCAAGGACAGCCAGTCCTGTGACAGCTCGCCTACCCACTGCCTCGCTGAGTATCTACCAGAGCCTGCCAGGAAGCTTCCAGAAACTGTTTCCTTGGCTCCTCAGATGACACAGACATCCAGTTATGATTTCAGCGGACTTGAGCAAGCCGGGGAACCACTATGTGCCTCCAGGGAGAGAAATCCGGTTGCCATTTCCACTCTTCCCCTCGGCATCCACCCATGGAGTGGGGGAGGGAAAGCTATGTAGGTCTTTCCTTCTTCAAGTTCCAGAACACTACCACCTGGCCCATCCTGCTAGGCGAACACCCCGCAGGCAGAAGGTCCTGGTCTGTATCCTTCCGGACTGGACTGCTCCCCTCCTCTTGAATTCCACCTCCAGTAGAAGCCCTCAACACTTTCCCGCTTCACTCTCGCTGCCCCCACGAATAAGTGTCCTTAGCACAATGCTTGTGTCTTCCCAGTCTCTAGTCTCTGGCTACATACTGGCGCCTCAGCGGATTCTAATCCTGCATTCACATTAGGCAAGTGACTACGTGACTGCACCTCCGTCTCCCCATTTCTACTGTGAGAGACTAATGAACCGACCTCCCCTCCCCTCGCGTTGTAAAGGAAAATGAGAGGTCTAACATAATGCCTGGCAGCACAGGATACGCAGGAGGGACATCACCAACTGGGCTAGAACTAGTTTTTGTAACCTGGTCACACTTCCAACTTAATTTTCCTGTAAGCAGGGTCTCCACAACGCGCTTTCATCCAGGTTGGCACACACGATAAGCGCGGGATACTGTGCCCGTGTTGGGGGAACTGGACAGCCCCTCTGCACCCGGCCCCTCGAGCCCCAGGGAGCGGCAAAGCACGGGTGGGGAAGCTTCCGGGAACCATGCAGGTCCGAGCGCAGATCCTTTGCGCTCAGCCCCGTGTGCTCAGTCGGTGCGCCGTGCGGAGAGGGGCGTGACTCAGCGCGGGGGCGTGTGCAGGCGGCTCCCCACGTGCAGCAAGAGGGACGCGCGCAGTCTGCGGGGCGTGCGCAGCCTGCGGGGGCGAGTGCAGATGGTGGGCTACCTGGGCGGACCTTTTGCGCTCGCCCCAACTCCTTCCTTCTATAAAGGCAGCGCTCCTCACGCTTGTCTCCATCACGCCTTTTCCTAGCACTCAAGTTTCGACTTTTCCTCGGTCCTCAGCCGGTCTTCAACCGCCGCCTTCACTCGCCATGGACCCCAACTGCTCCTGTGCCACAGGTAAGGCGGACTGCTGACTGGTCTCCGCAGCCCAAGTTTCTCCGAGAGCTAGCCAGGGTGTTTGGGGGTCGCACTAACTGTCTTGTTCCTGTAGATGGATCCTGCTCCTGCTCTGGGTCTTGCAAATGCAAAGAGTGCAAATGCACCACGTGCAAGAAAAGTAAGTTGGATCCTCTCTACCCCTTTACCCTTCGCTCGGCATCAGTCCCTAGTCCGCCCTACCGTCCCAGGAGCATCCAGGTATGGTGCCTCTGACTCAGTTTTTCGCTCATGGTCAACTCTTCTCCCCAGGCTGCTGCTCCTGCTGCCCGGTGGGCTGTGCGAAGTGCTCCCAGGGCTGCGTCTGCAAAGAGGCTTCGGAGAAGTGCAGCTGCTGCGCCTGAAGCGGGATTCCCCTCAGCTGTCTGTAAATAGAGCAATGTGTAGAAACGTATTGGTTTTTTTACAACCCCGTCCTATTCTCCACACCTCTTTCTATAAAGCATGTAACTGATAATAAAAGTGTTGACTTGATTAACTCAGCTTGTCTTTGTGTGAATTGGAAATAAGGGACTGGGCAGAGGTTGAAATGCAACTGCAGAGGCTTGAGTTGTGGGTTCAGATATTAGCTTGTGACTTAGGCTGCCCAGGTTACCTCTCGGGCTTTTATCCTTGAAGTGTAAGAGGATGCACAGGTCACAGATGTGTCAACCCCTGCTGTGCACGTGTCTGTTGGGGATTAAAGCCTCTGGTTTCCAGCACTAAACCAAGTGCTCTAATGAGCCTCACCCCTATTGTCTAGATACAAGGTACTCTGATTTCTCTCCCCAAATTCAGTTGGATTTTAGGCTTAACATTGACTTAAGTACGGAATATCAGCACCTAAACTTTGGTAAATAAACAGTAAGAATTATAGGGGCCAGCTAGTGGTGCATGCCTTTAATCCCAGCAGAGGCAGGTGAATCCTGAGTTGGGAGGCTAGCCTCATCTACAGAACAAGTTCTGGGGTGGCCAGGGACACACAGAAACCCTGTCTCAAGAAAAAGAAAAAAAATCAGGGAGTCGGGTGTGGTGAGTCCCATTTATAATCCCAGCACTTAGGAGGGCTGAACGAGGCCCGTAAATGAAGCTCTTGAGTTTGGAGGCCAGCCTGGTCTCTGGGTTCGTTCCAGGACAGCCAGGGCTACACAGAGAAACCCTGACTTAAAAAACAAAACAAAACAGGATTATTGAAATTTTGAAGTCAAATTTTGGTCTCAAAATTTGGTACCTTTGATTTTGAGACAAGACCTTACTGTGTAGCCCAAACTACTTGAACTTGCAATCCCCTAGCTTTAGACTCCTAATTGCTGGGAATACAGGCTCAAAGTCTATTTTTAAAGGGTCAGTAACATGAACAAAATGAAAAAAAAATTGCAAGCACTACATATCTAAGGGTGTGCCTTGCAGACTGGAAACTAAATGGTACAGCTTGTCCACCCTGGACCTCCCATGAGGAACTGCTCATCTCTGGTGCACAGGGACACCAACAGGAATGTTTTTTCCCCCCAAGTTTCCAGGAGCACGGTGACATGAGTGGGGTGTCAGATGTTTGGAAGTTCCTCTCAGGGTCAGAAAGAAACTTCCCCTCACTCATTCTAGCCCCTGACTATTTAGAAATGGAAAGTAGAAATTTGGAAGGAATTGCCCAGCATCTTCCGGGGAGCAAGGCATCTAGGTGGCGTCTGCAATTTGGAGGATGGGTGGTACTCTAGGAAGCTGTAAGGACCTGAATGACTCAATTAAAACCAACGGTTAATGCCCCTGGTTATTTGTTGAGCTAATGAAATTTGGTGTTCAATCAAAGGGAAAGATGAGTGTCTTGGCCATAAGTCAGGACCAAGCTTGCCCTTAGGCTTTCCGTGTGAAGATTAGGTTTACAAGGCAGCCGGTATTTCTGGGTGCCAAGAAGTCCTAGTTTGCAGCCTACTTCCCCCCTTACTGGCCATGTAACCTGGACAAGTCACTGAGCATCTGACAGAACATTTAGTTATGTCCCCAGACTGAACCTTCCAATGCTGATACTGTATTAACCTGTCACTCAGTTAAAGGCTAGATGCTGACAACTACATAGTCCCCGCTGCCAATAGTCACATTGTCACACATTCCCAATCACGGAGGGAGGCTCCAGACCAGATTCTGCTGGTCCAGATGCACTGACACCCAAAATGGCTTCGGGCTCATTAGAAGCTTATAATGAGAAAACGGACTTGGACAAGTGCCAAGCCAGACTGAACTATACCCACACTAGGGAAGAAAGACACCTTCACCCCTGGAAACCACTCCTTCCCGTTTAATGCTCTAACATCAAGTGCCTCACATGTAACACATAATAATCTAAACATTAATATCTATATGCCCACATCTAGTAAAAACTCAGAACTCTTTATCATCAACACCAAGGGGACTTGAGAGCAAGAGATGCTCCACTCGCTGCCTGCCCCTTAAACTTTGGCTATTTGCAAATGATAGTAAATAGAAAAGAGCCCATAGCTTCACTGGTGAGTCCTCTTCCATAGAAAGGAGAAGATATTCTGACGAGGGATTAACGAGAGAGGAGCTGGTCCTGGCTGAGGCTTCATAAATAAAGAGGTATGAGAATTCTATCCACATGGACTTCCTGGAGACAGAGTCCCATGTTGGCAAGCTCCAGTGTGGGAGGACACTGTGGAGTGGAGACTGGGGAGGGAGCCTTGCTGACTGGGGACCAGGGAAATACGGATAATGAGTCCAAAGCCCCTGTGACCAGGATGCTGCCGCAGCCTCCTGACAGACACCCAAGCCTTGCTGACTTTTCATACTTTTAATTTTCATTTGGCTTAGTGACAGAGCGAACTGAGTGTACTTAAACCTGGGTGGGATTTTGATGTATTGTATGTTCAGGGTGGTTAAAATGTTCTTGTCACCTTATTTGAACATATCACCTGAACTGATTCTTCCTGGGGTAGAGACATCCCCAGTTTCAGAACTGCAATCCTGCAGCAAGGGAGGCAGATCAGTCTGTGGGCATCCACAGAATTTCCTGCATAAGAGGACTCATAATTCGATTACACATTTCAGCTCTCAAGTCCCGAAAATGGAGGAAAAGGCAAACCTACTCCTTCTGCTAAATAGAATCATGTCTGTTCCCACATCCTGCCCACCCATCCTGTACACCGTCCACTGTCCAGGTAATATAAGCACTCTGAGCCCAGCACTCAGGAGACAGATCAGCAGTCTGAGGGCAGCTTCATCTGCCTGCAAAGTCTCAAACAAACAAACAAACAAACAAACAGAAGATAGCACTTTAAAGAGAATGATACTTTTTTCTGAGCCTATCATGAGGGATCAAGGCTCAACGAGTGAACATCGTCTGGAATGGTGAGTTTCACTGTGGGAAAGGCTCAGCCATAGTCAATCCATCTGGCATTACAGTAGTGGCACCAGGCAGGGAGCACAGCAGGGAGATCTCTCTGACTGTGTCACCTGGAGGAATTTTAGTTTCAGAGTTGCTGGGGATTAGGGGTCATCTAAGCTTAACCCTACATGCCAACAGCTTCATCTAACAGTCACGAGGATAACGAATCATCAAATCAGATACATGGGTTAAGATAAGGCCTATAATTCCAGCACACAGGAGGCTGAGACAGTTGGATCACAAGACCCCGTTTCCAAATAAACCAAAACAACATTAAAGAGCCTAAGATAGCCCAAGATAGTTTGGGCTCTTCACCCACAGCATTCCATTCCTCCACAGTCAAGATGTTCTAGCTAGCTGAGATCAAGCAGTCTTCAGGAACTGTAACAAGTGTGCCCTTCCTCAGAGAATAGCTCATACCACTACTTTATTTGCCTGGACAAAGGGGGAAGCAGGGGACAGTGCCTCTGAGTTCAAGGACCCAAGACCAATATAGCATGTGTGAAGAGAAGTGGAGCCCTGAGTCAATGTGCCTGAGTGGGACTGGCCTAGCCTTGATACCACCAATTGCTGCATTTCTTGTCACTGTCTTGTTACTGGCTTTCTCCTCCTCACAGGTGGCTCATGTTCCTGCATGGATGCTTCTCCTTCACATAGATAGATAGATAGATAGATAGATAGATAGATGATGGATAGATAGATAATAGATAGATAAATCGATGGTTAATAGATAGATGGTCTCCTAGCTATGTGTTGAGACCCTGCTTATAAGTGTTCCACAATATTAGCTATTACCTTTTCATAATCACATGCAGCAGATGGAATATTTATTTACGCACTTGCAAATGATAGATGCCAGACCTGGTATGCTCAGCTGTGTATCTGGTGTCACGCTCATGTAAGGCACACATGACCATGTGACATATGCTCCAAAGAGTTGCTCACTCATGCCAAAAACTTCTGTGGCCCTCCCATGCTAGGCTGGATATAAAACTATGAGAAAAGTTCATGACACATACAGAACCCTGCCTGTCATTTCTGTAGGCACAGTACCATGCTGTACAATGTAACAATTTTCTTAAATATAGTTAAGTGTGGTTATTAGTTATGATTACTTATATTTAAGTACACTCGTTACTAAACACATGCATCAGTCCTATTCCAGATACAGAAGAGAGCTAGAAAAATGGGTGTATGTGAAGATACACCCACACAGACATGTATATATTTCACTCATAAATTGTCCTTGTCAGCTGGGCATGATAATATATGTCTGTAATCTTAGCCCTTGGGAGGCAGGAGGAACTGTAGTTCAAAGCCAGTTTGGATTATATACAAATCCCTATCTGAAAACAAAGACAAAAATATTGCTTTTGTCTCTGCCAGTAGTGGAGCTGGGGTGTGCGCCTATATGAATAGATTTTAGTTGGAGAGAAATGTTAAGGCCATACCAGACACAGAGGAGTCTCTCAAGAACACTCTTTAAAGGGAAACTCCGTCAAGAGCAAAGGTAGGCTGTGGGATTCCAAGCCCCGCACAGCTCCCCAGGTCCGAACTTAATTAAACAGGGCCTGGCAGCAGAATCTAAAGTCACTTAAAAGTCAGGAGCATTGAAAAATCCATTGGCACTTCCGTTGCTTTTTATCTAATGCAGTCCCCGGATACCACCTAAAATGATCCCACTGGAGGGAAGACATCTCCAGCTTTTAAAACTGCTATCCTGGAGTAGAGCAGATAGGTTAAGGTGTGCGACCCCCAGCCCTGTACAATGTGCCTAGACTTCTCCGGAGCGGGGAATGAATGTGTTAGATGAGATGTGTTGGCCCTGTTGCTGTGTCCAGGAGGAAGAGTCCCACGGACTGTGATGGGACAGAAACAGACAATGAGGACCGGGAAAGTAACATAATCAAGGCTAGTCTTTCTTACAAAACTGTCTCCTTTGCTTCTGCTAATTTCGACCCAGAGAACTCCAGAAAAGGAGAACACAGCTCTTTGGGTGGGTTTAGGAAGACAGTCGGGGTTGGGGGAGGGGGACTCCGGAGTGAGTTCTCGTAATGCACAGGTCCAGTGATGGGCTGTAATCTCGGGGAAAGCACTACAGGGACAAGGTGTACCACACGTCATACAAGTTGTCCTTCCCGGGCCAGCTGCGCCAAAGGGGCGGTCCCGCTGTGCACGCCAGCGCCCTAGGGAGCTCTGCACCCCGCCCGAAGGGTGCGCTCGGCTCTGCCAAGGACGCGGGGCGCGTGACTCAGCGCAAAGGTAAGAGCAACCGATTGCTGGGTGCAAATTCTGCACCCGGACCGGTCCCACGACTATAAAGAAAGCAAGCCGCTCGCTAGGCGTCATCACAACTTCCAGCAGCCTGACTGCCTCCTTGTCACTTGCTCTGCTCCGTAGCTCCAGCTTCACCAGATCTGGAAATGGACTCCAACTGCTCCTGCTCCACCGGTAAGAGACACACTTTTCTTGGTCTTTAGAATACCCAGAGCGGATTCCCGCCGTTGTAGAGGATGTAGTGTAGAATCTTGGCGGGAACAGTGCCTTTAGTTGGAGATTTTCATTCTAGTACTTTTTAGTGTCCCCTTTTGCAAGCACCTTCATCTATTCTTGGAGTATTAATATTGTCCGAACGGATCCTTTGTCGGGGTTGGGGGCAGTATTTAGGTGCACAAATATCCCGCTCCTGATCACCCAGGTAGTGAGGACATCTGGGTCGAGCCCCAGGCATTATTAAACTTTTATGAATTGCCTAGACTAGGAGAGAATTGAGGGACTTCTGTGTCTTGGATCAAAGATTCAAGTCCTACCCTACCCCATGAGAAGTGGGGGCTAGGCTTCCTGGAGTCCTAGTAGGATTTAGTGAACTGAGCTGGCACGTGGGGGGGCACCGCTGTGATCCGCTTTTCTCCGTACTTACTGCTGTCTTCTGTCTCCTCTACAGGCAACTCCTGCACCTGCTCCAGCTCCTGCGGCTGCAAAGACTGCAAGTGCACCTCCTGCAAGAAGAGTGAGTGTGGGGGGTAGCCTGGGGTGGTGGCTAAGGTTCCGGGAGCACCCGCAGAGCTGGCTCTGAGAAATGTGTCGGGCCAGAGCTGCTTGTTGGGGTCTTCAGTCAGGCCTCTGTGACAGGAGGTCCTAGGACACCCGCTCTGACCTCTTCCTCTCCCTTGTCTCTATAGGCTGCTGCTCCTGCTGCCCAGTGGGCTGCTCCAAGTGTGCCCAGGGCTGTGTCTGCAAAGGGGCGGCGGACAAGTGCACGTGCTGTGCCTAACGGGAGGACAATGCTGCCCCCACGTGTAAATAGTGCGGACCAACCCGGAGTTTTTCAGACAGCTCTACCCTGTTTTCAAAGCCCCCTTTTCTACGGAATATGTGAATAAAAAGCCAATGTGATTCTAACTCTGGTTTTCTTTGTGTGACTTGGAACTAAGAAACTGGGGTGACAGATTGACTTGATGAGATTACAGGGATTTGGTTCTGGACTCATTGGTCCCTTTACCTCTTCACCCCCTGCCCAAGAGGAGGGGGACGTGTTTTAGGGAAAGTCAAATTACATCATGAGGCCGGGCGTTGGTGGCACACGCCTTTAATCCCAGCACTTGGGAGGCAGAGGCAGGTGGATCTCTGTGAGTTCGAGGCCAGCCTGGTCTACAAGAGCTAGTTCCAGGACAGCCTCCAAAGCCACAGAGAAACCCTGTCTCAAAAAACCAAAAAAAAAAAAAAATTACATAATGAGCTTCCTCTTAATGGAAGACAGCAGCTGTGTGCCGGGTCAGGACTCTCTCTCTCTCTCTCTCTCTCTCTCTCTCTCTCTCTCTCTCTCTCTCTCTCTCTCTCTCTCTCTCTCCCTCACAGCTCAGAAGCGTCTCAATCCTTTGTTTACATTCCCTTTTCTATTCCAGTTTCAGGGTATATGGGGGCACTGAGAGTAACAGGGTGTCTGGCATGCTAGTGGGGGGGCTCTGACACTGAGCCTTTTTTTTGGGGGTGGAGAGATGTGTTACAGGGTCTTTAGCTGTTTTGACACCAGATCTCACCATGTTTCTTAGGCTGGCCTTGAACTCACTTTGTAGCCCAGTCTGGCCTCGAATTTTTGATTCCCCTGCCTCAGTTTCCCAAGTACCTGGGATCACAGGGCAAACTGTGCCACCGGGCCACTTAAAAGTGACATAGGGTCAGGTGTGGCTCATGCCTGTAATCCCAGCATTTGAGAAGTAGGAGCATGAGAGTCTGGGTACTAGACGGCCTGGCCTATGTGTGACCCTGTCTCAAAATAAAAGTGACCGCAAAGTGGGGTGTTTGATCCTCAGAGATTCTCTGTAGTCTGTTCTCTCTCTCTCTCTCTCTCTCTCTCTCTCTCTCTCTCTCTCTCTCTCTCTCTCTCTCTCTCTCTCGTGTGTGTGTGTGTGTGTGTGCAGAGCGTGCGCAAGTGCTCACATGTGCTTGTGAATGTGGAGGCCTGAGGCTGACACTGGGAATCTTCCTCTTTCACTTTCTGTCTTTTTCTTTTTCCTCTTGAGACAGGGTTTCTCTGGAGCTTTGGAGCCTGTCCTGGAACTCATTCTGTAGACAATGCTGTTCTCTAACTCAGAGATCCCCCTGCCTCTGCTCCCCAAGAGCTGGGATTAAAGTCATGCCTACCACCGACCTTCCTTTTTGAGATGAGATCTTTTGGTGAATTTAGAACTTGCTTTATTTCTGCCAGACTGGATGCCCAGCAAACCCTGGGGACCCACCTCTTTCTACCCACCCTCAGCTCAACACTGGGGGTGACAGACTTGTACCACCACTCCTGGCTTTTTCTGTAGGTGCTGGAGATTCGAACTCAGCTCCTCAAGCTTGAGCAGCAAGCCCTTTGCTTCCTGAGCCACATGCCTAACCCCCTACAGCTATTATTTTCTATGCACCTCAAACCTGATGCTTGGTAAATGACACTATTTGTACAAAAATAAATTACAAGAGCACGAAACCCACATTTAGAAGATTCGACAGGAAAACAATAATTATATGAAGATATAGGGAAACTAATTCAATCACTCCACAGAGCTGCTCATGGACAGTGATTGTGTGCGTACCCTGGAGCAGCCCTGGCTCAGAGACCCTGAAGGAACTCAGCAAGGACCCTGAGCAGCATCAGACCACTCGCTGGGAGGGCCTCCATTGCTGTGATTCGGGTGGAAGTTCCTTGCAGAGTCAGGATGAATTTGCTCTTTCAGATTCCAGCAGCATGACCAGGGATTGGAGGGAGCTGCTCACGTATATAATCTTCTGACTCTAAGCGAAGTACTTTGTGTCAAAACTGACCAGTGTACTGGGGAGGGCTCACTGGCTATAGAGAGCTTAGGGTAGTTTCAGGTCAAGAACTCACGCCTGTCTCTGTGCATGGACAATGGAAGACAGTCCTAAGTCTGGCCTCTTACTGGCTACTAGGGAAACGGAGCCGAAGAAGGAGGTGGGCACACACTCCCCTCACGCTCACTTTGATCTCAGAGATGCCACAGAGAGACTTTGGGAAGACCAAGGTGACCTCCACAGCGCAGGGCTGAGGACTGGAGACAGCCGCGACTAGGTTCCTGGAACTCTAAGGGGGAGGAATGTCCAGCAAAATTTCTAGAACTGGCAGAGAAGCTGAGTGACTGCATGCAGCTAAGGGCTGAGCGCAAAACCCCGCCTCCCGGGGCCGCCCAGTGGCGGGCGCAGAAGAAACACCCCTGCCGCCTGGTGCACACTGCACACGAGACTGCGCCCAGCGGGAAGCTTGCTCTCAGCTCAGCCACACCCGGTAGTGTGACAATGGGCGCGAGTTCACGGGTGCTACGAAGAGGGCGGGGCCGTCGCACCAGGCCCAGGGCAGACTTGGCAGCTGCTAGCCTTCTTCTGTCCTACTAGGCCACCCAGCCGGGCTTCAGCCCCTGCAAATTGTTGCTCAGGAGATCCAGCGTGGTGTAAAGTACCTGGCATGGACCTCAGGGGGCGCAGTTCCCAGCCAGAGGTCACTGACGTCTTGAGTTCTGAACGGAGAGGTCTCACTTTGTCCACTGCTCGCTTTCAGGTGGAGCTCCTGAAGGCAGGTCCACCTTGCCTTATTAATAAGTTCAAGGACTGAGGTTCAGAGTTTATATCCCCTTCCCTTCTCCCCCTCCACGACATCGTTGAACTAACTGGTCAGGTGCCGGCAGGCTGCACCCAGAGGTCTGTACAGACCTGGGGAGTCCCTAGCGTGGATAAAAGGCTGAGGAGGGTCCTTTTGGGGGGTGAGGACCTCGGGTCATGTCCTAAATTGCTGTCACCTCGGGCTGGCTCTTACAGTGTGCTCCATATGGGACAGGAGGAGCAAGGCCGGGACAGCTGTGAGTTCTGACCTCCGGGTTGTCCCCTGGCTCCCTCCTGTGTCTCCAGCTCTTATCTTCTTTCTTTACCCCAGAGGCAGCTCCTGCAGCTGCAAAGCCTGCAGATGTGCCTACAGCAGGAACAGCCAGTGGGGCCTGCTTTAGAGATCTGGGGCTTGGGCTGAGCTTGGGAGGGAAGCCACAGCTGTTCTAAGTGTGTAACTCTGGGGACACTGGCTGTCCTTTAACCCTGAAGACCATTCTGCTCCTATCCCAGGATTTCTGCACTGCCCTTAGGTCCCAAGACCAGGCTGCCCGTCTCTATTGGGATGCAAACCCTGAAGTTCACATCCGGGCTCTCAGGGTAGACAGAGCTTAGGTCTTCATTAGAATGCTTCCTCAGGAGCATGGTACTGTGGGCATGGCCATTCTGATCAGTACTTGGGAGGTAGGCAGGAGGATCATGAGTTCAAGTCTAGAACAGGCTAGCTGTGTCAGACCCTGTTGGTAGACAAATAAATACTTCCTTGGTGTGAGGCCCAGAAAAGCAAGCATTGCTTCGTTTTTTCCTCTCTAGCTCTCCTCAGGCGGCTGCTGATGCTGCCCAGTGAGATGTTCCAAGTGCGCCCAGGGCTGTGTCTGACGAGCGCGCCTGCTGTGGCTGGTGTTAGGACAGTGCCGCTCCCACCTGTAAAGAGAGCAACTTGTACAGAACTGGATTTGTGTTCCCCACCCCTCAGTCCTGTTGGCTGTGTATGACCTTTTCTAGTAAGTGTGTGAATGACCATCAGATTTGATGGCTTCATTCTGAGCTGGTGTGTGTGTGTGTGTGTGTGTGTGTGTGTGTGCGTGTGTGTGTGTGTGGATTGGGATAAGTGGCTGAGGCGAGAGATTTAACACTAACGCAGAGGCCTGGGCTCATCTGTTAGATTCCCACCCTACATCAACAACTCAGGCAAGGCGCGTTGGGCTTCGTCTCTGGCACATAGAAAAGGGGGAGCAGCTGTTGGTGGGGAGGCAGCCCTGTTTGTCATCCTCATGGACCGTGTTCACAGTGACATCTCCCGTTCTCTGGCTCTCCGATGGGCCCTGCTTTAGTCCTCGGGAGGGCTTACTTACGTGGAGGAGGAGACTTTGGAGTGGGAGATCCAGCTCTCCAGGGTGTTTCCAGTTCTACGTGGGGCTTCTCAGACTCCACCTGGGAAGAGGCTTTGATCTTTCAGAACTAAGCCCTCGTAACTGAAATGATGTTAACTGCTGGGGTAATTAAGCCGAAGGGCATAACCCACTGTGCTAGGATCAACAGGAAAATTTCAAAACCCACCGGACACCACACACTTTTTAATTACGTAGAATCTTGCTCTGTAGCTCAGGCTGGCCTCTACTTCCCTGCACGAATTCTGCCTCAGGCTCACCAGGTTGAGACTTCAGCCACGTGTACTGTGGTTAGAAAAATGTTCCCTGAGGGTGTGCATTGAGAACAGAAGCTGGAGACTTCCCCAGTGTGAGAGCCACACACTGTGAGCATTGCTGGCATTCCCTCAAGGAGACTCAGTGTCCAGGAATCCTGGAAGGACACTAGCTAACTAGGGAGGGCTCCAGGTGGTGACTAGGCCCCTTATCTGTGGAAGTCATCGTCCCACACATACCCGAGTCAGGGTGAATCTGCCCCTCCAGATTCCTTGGCCACTAAGTCACAACTTTCCAAGATGTGGAGCCAACGTTCTCTTGCTGGAGACTGTGGATGTGGCCCTCGGCTCCAGAGGAGGTGCTGCTTGTCAAGGTATCCTGGAACGAGGTGAAGCCTGCAAGCCTGGGGAGCCCCAGTAAGGTTCCATATGAACTATTACCTACTTCTGTGACCATATTCCCTCCATGCTTGGCTATTGCCAGAACATGGAACACATCCTCACACCTGCCTTTCCTAGTGCCAAAGAGAAACAGGGCCAAATGGGAGGCATGGCTGGTGTGGAAGAGAGAGACAGTGCAGAAGGAACCAAAGGTGACACTAGAGACCGTCAGAACTCAGCAATTAGGGAGCGTGTACTCCGAGCCAGGGTGAGGTGACAT